GGGAAACATTTAAATATCTTGGAATGGCCTAGTCAAAGCCCAGACCTCAATCCAACTGAGAATCTGTGGTATGACTTAAAGATTGCTGTACACCAGCGGAACCCATCCAACTTGAAGGAGCTGAAGCAGTTTTGCCTTGAAGAATGGGCAAAAATCCCAGTGGCTAGATGTGCCAAGCTTATATAGACATACCCCAAGAGACTTGCAGCTGTAATTGCTGCAAAAGGTGGCTCTACAAAGTATTGACTTTGGGGGGGTGAATAGTTATGCACGCTCAAGTTCTGTTCTTTTGTCTTATTTCTTGTTTGTTTCACCAGAAAAAATATTTTGCATCTTCAAAGTTGTGTAAATCAAATGATACAAACCCCCCAAATATCCATTTTAATTCCAGGTTGTAAGGCAACAAAATAGGAAAAATGGCAAGGGGGGTGAATACTTTCGCAAGCCACTGTAGCTAAATACCAATACATTGAAAATGTGTCCTGTCGTTCTCCAGCTGGCTAGCATGAGGCAGCTGTCTTCAGAGTCTAGGCTATTTTTTTGCTGAAATCAGTGCAGTTTATCCTTCTTTCAATAGAGTAACAGTTTTCCCATTAAAAAAGTATTGTCTTTCGAGAGCTCATACATTTTATATGGTGCATAAATTAAATGTTCAGTCCTCCAATGTAAGAAATCAGCTTTCTGGGTGTCTTAGTAGGGCTGTTTTAAACACACACCTGGTAACACACACACACACACACACACACACACACACACACACACACCTGGTAACACACACACACCTGGTAACACACACACACCTGGTAACACACACACACCTGGTAACACACACACACACCTGGTAACACACACACCTGGTAACACACACACACCCCTGGTAACACACACACACACACCTGGTAACACACACACACACACACACCTGGTAACACACACACACACACACCTGGTAACACACACACACACACACCTGGTAACCACACCACACACCTGGTAACACACACACACCTGGTAACACACACACAACACACCGTAACACACAACACACACCTGGTAACAACACACCACAACACACACACACCTGGTAACACACACCACACCAACACACCACCACCTGGTAACACACACACACACACACACCTGGTAACACACACACACACCAACAAACCACCACACCTGGTAACCACACACCACAACCTGGTAACACACACACCTGGTAACACACACACACACACCCCTGGTAACACACACACACACACACCTTGTAGGGCTATTTTAAACACAATCCACACAGATGTTTTTGTTTTGATATAATAACAATATCGGCAGACATATTGGTTATCAGTGAATATTTCCACTATAAAATCCCATATCGGTCGGCCGCTAAACAACGCTTCCTCAACACGGGGTCCGGGGCACTGCATGACTCCAACACCATCGTCAAGTTTGCTGACGACACGCCGGTGGTAGGCCTGATAACCAATGATGAGTCAGCCTACAGGGAGGTCGCCAGGACAACAACCTCTCCCTCAACGTCAGCAAGACAAAGGAGCTGATCGTGGACTACTGACGACAAACACATACACTCTCACTCTCCACATACGCTGCTGCTACTCAGTTTATTATATATCCTGATTGCCTAGTCACTTTTACCCCTACCCACATGTACATACTATATTACCTCAATTACCTGGTACCCCTGCACATTGACTAGGTACTTCTAATGATGTGTTTTTTTCTAGTTAAGCATAGTAAGCATAGTTAATTACATCATGACAAGCTAACAATGTATGGTTAAATAGTTAATCACAACATGACAGGAAGAGGCCTGAAACAGAGACAGGAAATAGCTCTGTTAGTTTTTAACCATCTGATGAGGATTTTTCAGTGGACTATGGGATAGACATGGTTAATCAACAAACACGGAGCCAGGGATAACCATGGATACATCTCTGTTGCTAGGCAAGAACGTAGTTGGTTTGATACATCTGTTGCTAGGCAAGAACGTAGTTGGTTTGATACATCTCTGTTGCTAGGTAAGAACGTAGTTGGTTTGATACATCTCTGTTGCTAGGTAAGAACGTAGTTGGTTTGATACATCTCTGTTGCTAGGCAATAACGTAGTTGGTTTGATACATCTCTGTTGCTAGGTTAGAACGTAGTTGGTTTGATACATCTCTGTTGCTAGGTAAGAACGTAGTTGGTTTGATACATCTCTGTTGCTAGGCAATAACGTAGTTGGTTTGATACATCTCTGTTGCTAGGTAAGAACGTAGTTGGTTTGATACATCTCTGTTGATAGGTAAGAACGTAGTTGGTTTGATACATCTCTGTTGCTAGGTAAGAACGTAGTTGGTTTCTCTCACTGGGGTTACGTGTTTGTTCTCTGGTCATCTGACCTGTCTTCGGTTGTCTTCTCTTATCAGTGACTGAAACCAGGCTGGACCCTTTGACTCCTTGAGCGTCTTCCTGATTAAATGATAGCGTAAATGATAGCTAGTCTCCTGAGTGGCGCAGTGGTCTAAGGCACTGCATCGCAGTGCTAACTGTGCCACTAGAGATCCTGGTTCGAATCCAGGCTCTGTCGCAGCCGGCCGCGACCGGGAGACTCATGGGCGGCGCACAATTGGCCCAGCGTCATCCAGGGTAGGGGAGGGAATGGCAGGCAGGGATGTAGCTCAGTTGATAGAGCATGGCGTTTGCAACGCCAGGGTTGTGGGTTCGATTCCCACGGGGGGCCAGTATAAAAAAAATATGTATTCACTAACTGTAAGTCGCTCTGGATAAGAGCGTCTGCTAAATGACTAAAATGTAAAAATGTAAATAGCGTGACGGGACAGAGGGGTTAGGCTTGGGTATTTTTGAGAGATTGATTGTGGGCCTGCCATGTTGTCCACAATCCATCTCCAGGTCAAGCCAGGGTGAGCCAGGGTTTAACAAAGTTCAAACTGAACATGATTATTTTTACATGACAGGGCTGTTATTTGTGTATGATAAAGCTTGATTGGTCACACCACCATTGTTTCCAAACTGAATAGAAGTCAGATTTCGACACTATCATAAACTAAGGAAGTGGGCAGAGTGGTCAAGAGGTGGAAACTGGAAACAGTGGTGGTGGAACCAAAGAGGGAGGGGTTAAGCTCAAATGTAAAATTACTATATAAACCGAGCTGGGAGGTGGACAAGGAGATGCTTTGCAAACCACCTCGGCTCTATTGCTTATGTAATAAGTCTATCTTAATTCTACAAAAAAAACTGAAATACTTTGGTTCTTTGATTAGTATAAGGACAAATTTGCTATAATACTAATTCCCTCAACTACTTGGTACCCCTGCATATTGACTCTGCATTGTTGGGGCTCGGAAGCATTTCACAGTCAGGTCTACACCTGTTGTATTTGGTGCATGTGACAAATACAATTTGATTTGCGTGGTGCCAGTCAAGTTGAAATAGGCTATACATCGTCAGTCACAGCATGACGTCGTCACCATGGATATCTGATTGTTGTTACCTTGAGCTCCTGCAGATGGTCTGGTTCATACAGCTGGTTAGAGACGGCCTGGGCCAGGAAGGCATCCAACTCATGTCTCTGTAGGATACCACCACCTGGCCACTGCATCATATACCTGAAGAACATTACACACACACACCTGTTAACATCTCACACACACACACACACACACACACACACACACACACACACCTGGTAACATAACACACACACACACACACACACACACACACGGTAACATAACATAACACACACACACACACACACACACACACACACACACACACACACCTGTTAACACACACACACACACACCTGGTAACATAACACACCAGATGTGTGTGTCATCAGGTAACACACACACACACCTGGTAACACACACACCTGGTAACACACACACACACCTGGTAAATACACACCTGGTAACACACACACACCTGATGACACACAAACACCCACACACCTGGTAACCAACACCCACACACCTGGTAACCAACACCCACACACCTGGTAACCAACACCCACACACCTGGTAACCAACACCCACACACCTGGTAACCAACACCCACACACCTGGTAACCAACACCCACACACCTGGTAACCAACACCCACACACCTGGTAACCAACACCCACACACCTGGTAACCAACACCCACACACCTGGTAACCAACACACCTGGTAACCAACACACCTGGTAACCAACACACCTGGTAACCAACACACCTGGTAACCAACACACCTGGTAACCAACACACCTGGTAACCAACACACCTGGTAACCAACACACCTGGTAACCAACACACACACACACACACACACACACACACACGGTAACCAACACACAAACACACACCTGGTAACACACACACACCTGGTAACAAATCAAATTTGTTAAATATACGTGTTTAGCAGATGTTATAGCGGGTGTAGCGAAATGCTTGTGCTTCTAGCTCCGACAGTGCAGTAATATCTAACAAGTAATATCTAGCAATTTCACAACATATACCCAATACACACAAAACTAGTAAGGAATGGGATTTAAGAATATATATGGACAAGCAACAACACACACACACACACACATATCCGGTAAACACACACACACACACACACACCTGGTAACAAACAAACACCTGATAACACACACACCTGGTAACAAACAAACACCAGGTAACACACACACCTGGTAACAAACAAACACCTGATAACACACACACACCTGGTAACAAACAAACACCAGGTAACACACACACCTATTAACAAACAAACACCTGATAACACACACACCTGGTAACAAACAAACACCTGGTAAACAAACACACACACGTCTCTGTAGAATCCTACCACCTGGCCACTGAATCACATACCGGTACAGACACACAGTCTTACTTGAGCACGCAGCACAGCACATGAGCAGAAGGTGTTGACACACAGTCTTACCTGAGCACGCAGCGCAGCACATGAGCAGAAGGTGTTGACACACAGTCTTACCTGAGCACGCAGCACATGAGCAGAAGGTGTTGTGGAACCTGAGCAGGGTTGAGTAGGGCAGGACAGTCGGAGCGGAGACAGGCTAGGAACGCTCTGGTCCTCCGGGAGCGATCTTCACTGGCCCTACCAAGCCACAGCCTCCGCAGGTTAGGACAGGTCCACTCTCTGAAGCACAGCGCTGGAACCAGCTCCGGGGTCAGGGCTGATTTAGACTTACCACTGGACCACTCCTTCACTATCACTGGGGGGACTGTGGGGGGGAAGAGAGACGTTGAGAAGAACACATTCTCTTTTACAATAACGACCAACAAGATACAGCAACGAGGTGACAGGTGACCGTGTTCGACCAATAAGATACAGCAACGAGCTGACAGGTGACCGTGTTAGACCAATAAGATACAGCAACGAGCTGACAGGTGACCGTGTTCGACAAAGCAGACAGGAAAAACGTAATGCTTCAATTGGAATTGAAATCATTCATCTCTCACTAGTCCAACTCTTTCCCCTCAAATCATTCATCTCTCACTAGTCCAACTCTTTCCCCTCAAATCATTCATCTCTCACTAGCCCAACTCTTTCCCCTCACCTTCCAGGGGTCCTCTGCTGCGCATGGCGAGTCTCTCGAGGCGTCGGTGTGTTTCGGCAAGGCTGAAGAGGACCCCATAGCAGTACTGTCTGGCTGCTCTGAACAGCAGAGAGGCTGGAGGCAGCTCACTGTTACAATCATCTTCTATACACACCACCATCTTCATCTCTCCCTGATAAAAAGAGCAAAGAGACAGTAAGAAAAAGGAGAGAGAATATTATATATTTATATATATAATATATATATATATCTACTCCTCGAGAGAGAGTGGCATAGAGGAGAGAGATTTATATAGAGAGAGGAGAAGTATCTATAATAGAGAGGGAGAGATGAGTATAGAGAGAGATATTATATATAGAATAAAATTTATGAGAGGAGAGATGGTATAGAGAGAGGAGCGCGATGGTGTATATAGAGAGAGGAGAGTGTGTATAAGAGAGGAGAGTGTGTGTATGAGAGGAGAGATGTGTTATAGAGAGAGCGAGTATGTGATATAGAGGAGAGGAGAGATGTGATGGAGAGGAGGGAGGAGTGGTATAGAGAGAGGGAGAGAGTTTATGAGAGGAGAGATGTGTTATAGAGAGGAGAGATGTGTTATAGAGAGGGGAGGTGTGGTGTTAGAGAGCGGATGATGTTGTATAGAGAGGGTGAGTGTCAGAGAGGGGCGTGGTGTGTGATAGAGAGGGAGCGGCGATGTTGGTTAGTAGAGAGAGGAGAGATGTGTATACTGAGAGGCGAGAGTGGTGTATTAGAGAGAGGAGAGATGTGTGTATAGAGAGGGAGGATGGTAGTTAGAGAGAGGGAGGAGTGCGTGTTTAGAGAGAGGAGAGATTGTGGATAAGAGAGAGGAGAGTGTGGTATAGAGAGAGGAGAGAGTGGTGTTTAAGAGAGGGGAATGTTGTATAGGAGGAGAGTGGTTTATAGGGAGAGAGAGAGTGTGTTATATAGAGAGAGGAGAGTGGATAAGAGAGGAGAGAGGTGTGTATAGATGAGAGGAGTGGTGTATAGAGAGAGGAGAGATGTGTTTAGAGAGGGAGGGGAGAGATGTGTGTATAGAGACGGAGAGATGTGTTAGAGAGGAGGAGGATGTGTATAGAGAGAGGAGAGATGTGTGTATAGAGAGAGGAGAGTGTGTATAGAGAGGAGAGATGTGTTATGAGAGGAGGAGCAATGTGTTATAGAGGGAGGGGAGAGGATGTTATGAGAGAGGAGAGATGTGTTATGAGAGGAGCGAGGAGGTGTATAGAGAGAGGAGAGATGTGTGTATAGAGAGAGGAGTGGTGTTGTGTAGAGAGAGGAGAGATGTGTTATAGGAGGAGACGGAGAGATGGTGTATAGAGAGGGAGAGTGTGTGTCTATAGAGAGACGGTGTCGGAGAGGATGTTGTTGTATAGAGGAGAGGAGGAGTGTGTATATAAGAGGCGGAGAGATGTGTGTATAGAGAGAGGAGAGATGTGTTATGAGAGAGGAGAGTGTGTGGTATAGAGAGAGGAGAGATGTGTGTTATAGAGAGAGGAGACGATGTGTTATATAGAGAGGAGGAGAGAGTGTGTATTGAGAGAGGGAGATGTGATATATAGAGAGGAGAGATGTGTATATGAGAGAGAGAGATGTGTATAGGAGGAGAGATTGTGTTATAGAGAAGGAGGATGTAGGAGAGATGGTATATAGAGACGAGGAGAGATGTGTATAGAGGAGGAGGAGTGTGTTATAGAGGAGGAGAGATGTGTGTATAGGAGAGGAGATATGTGTTATAGGAGAGGAGAGATGTGTTAGAGAGAGAGATGTGTGTATAGAGAGAGGAGAGTGTTATATAGAGAGGGAGATGTGTATAGAGAGAGGGAGATGTGTATTAGAGAGAGGGGAGATGTGTGTATAGACGAGAGGAGAGATGTGTATATAGGAGAGGAGATTGTCTGTGAGAGAGGAGAGGTGTGTGTTTAGAGAGGAGAGGTGTTATAGAGAGAGGAGGATGTGTATATAGAGAGAGGAGAGATGTGTATATGAGGGGGGAGGAGAGTGTTGGATAGGATGTTGAGCAGAGGAGGAGATGTGTTATGGAGAGAGCAGGAGAGATGTGTTATATGCGACGAGACGGAGAGAGTTGGTATCTAGCAGAGAGGAGGATGTGTATATATAGAGGCGTCGGAGAGGTGTGTATATAGAGAGGAGAGATGTGTATATAGAGGAGGAGAGATGTTATAGATAGGGAGAGGAGAGATGTGTTTATAGGAGAGGAGATGTGTTATAGGAGGGAGATGTGTTATAGAGAGGGAGGAGAGTGTTGTATAGAGAGAGGAGAGATGTGTACTGAGAGAGAGGAGAGATTGTGTATGAGAGGGAGAGTGTGTTGCAAGCATGTGTAGAGGGGAGAGATGTTGATATAAGGCGAGTGGTTAGAGGGAGATGTGTATATAGAGAGGGAGAGATGTGTGTTATAGAGGAGGAGAGATGTGTTAAGAGAGAGGAGAGATGTGTGTATAGGAGAGGGAGAGATGTGTTATAGAGAGAGGAGAGATGTGTGTATAAGAAGGAGGATGGTTTATAGAGGAGGAGAGAGTGTATAGAGAGGGAGAGTGTGTATAGACGAGGGAGGCGCGAGAGAGTGGGATATTAGAGGAGAGATGGGTATAGAGAGGAGGAGATGTTGTATATAGAGAGAGGAGGAGAGTGTGTTATAGAGAGAGGAGAGATGTGTTAGAGAGAGGAGAGATGTGTATATAGAGACGAGGAGAGATGTGGGTATAGAGAGAGGAGGACGATGTGTTATAGAGAGAGGAGAGATGTGTATATATCAGAGCAGGGAGGAGTGTGATTGAGGAGGATGTGTTGTCTGAGGAGAGAGGGCGAGAGATGTGTGTATAGAGAGGAGGGTGTGGTGTATAGAGAGGAGGGAGATGTGTATATAGGAGGAGGTGTGTTAGAGAGGAGGGTGTGTATAGAGAGGGGAGAGGTGTATAGAGAGAGGAGAGATGTGTTATAGAGAGAGGAGAGATGTGTATATAGAGAGAGGAGAGATGTGTATAGAGAGAGGAGAGATGTGTATAGAGAGAGGAGAGATGTGTATATAGAGAGAGGAGAGATGTGTGATATATAGAGAGAGGAGAGATGTGTATATATAGAGAGGAGAGATGTGTATATATAGAGGAGAGATGTGTGTATAGAGAGAGGAGAGATGTGTGTATAGAGAGAGGAGAGATGTGTGTATAGAGAGAGGAGAGATGTGTGATATAGAGAGAGGAGAGATGTGTATAGAGAGAGGAGAGATGTGTATATAAGAGAGGAGAGAGATGTGTATAGAGAGAGGAGAGAGTGTGTATAGAGAGAGGAGAGATGTGTATATATAGAGAGAGGAGAGATGTGTATAGAGAGAGGAGAGATGTGTTATAGAGAGGAGAGATGTGTATATATAGAGAGAGGAGAGATGTGTATATATAGAGAGAGGAGAGATGTGTATATAGAGAGGAGAGTGTGTATATAGAGAGGAGAGATGGTGTGTATAGAGAGAGGAGAGATGTGTGTATAGAGAGAGGAGAGATGTGTATATATAGAGAGAGGAGAGATGTGTATAGAGAGAGGAGAGATGTGTGTATAGAGAGAGGAGAGAGTGTGTGTATAGAGAGAGGAGAGATGTGTATAGAGAGAGAGGAGAGATGTGTTATATAGAGAGAGAGAGATGTGTTATAGAGAGAGGAGAATGTGTGATAGAGAGAGGAGAGATGTGTGTGATATAGAGCGAGGCGCTGTGTGTTCTTAGAGAGCGGCGCGATGTGTTCTCGCGCGGGGCTGTGTTCTCGAGCGGCGAGTGTGTGTATAGAGAGCGGGCCGCTGTCTCTCGCCGCGGCGCGCTTGTTAGGCGGCGAGTGTGTGTTGAGAGGGAGAGATGTGTATCGAGCGCGGAGGCTGTGTATATAGAGAGAGAGGAGAGATATATACACTACCGTTCAAAAGTTTGGGGTCACTTAGAAATGTCCTTGTTTTCGAAAGAAAATCAATTTTGTTGTCCATTAAAATAACATCAAATTGATCAGAAATACCGTGTAGACATGGTTAATGTTGTAAATGGCTATTGTAGCTGGAAACGGCTGATTTTTAATGGAATATCTACATAGGCGTACAGAGGCCCATTATCAGCAACCATCAGTCCTGTGTTCCAATGGCACGTTGTGTTTGCTAATCCAAGTTTATCATTTTAAAAGGCTAATTGATCATTAGAAAACCCAATTATGTTAGCACAGCTGAAAACTGTTGTGCTGATTAAAGAAGCAATAAAACTGGCCTTCTTGAGACTAGATGAGTATCTGGAGCATCAGCAATTGTGGGTTCGATTACAGGCTCAAAATGGCCAGAAACAAATAACTTTCTTCTGAAACTCGTCAGTCTATTCTTGTTCTGAGAAATGAAGGCTATTCCATGCGAGAAATTGCCAAGAAACTGAAGATCTCGTACAATACTGTGTACTACTCCCTTCACAGAACAGCGCAAACTGGCTCTAACCAGAATTGAAAGAGGAGTGGGAGGCCCCGGTGCACAACTGAGCAAGAGGACAAATACATTCGTGTCTAGTTTGAGAAACAGACGCCTCACAGGTCCTCAACTGGCAGCTTCATTAAATAGTACCCTCTCAACGTCAACAGTGAAGAGGCGACTCCGGGATGCTGACCTTCTAGGCAGAGTTGTAAAGAAAAAGCCATATCTCAGACTGGCCAATAAAAATTAAAGATTAAGATGGGCAAAAGAACACTGGAGAGAGGAAGATTGGAAAAAAGTGTTATGGACAGACGAATCGAAGATTGAGGTGTTTGGATCACAAAGAAGAACATTTGTGAGACGCAGACCAAATGAAAAGATGCTGGAGGAGTGTTTGATGCCATCTGTCAAGCATGGTGGAGGCAATGTGATGGTCTGGGGGTGCTTTGGTGGTGGTAAAGTGGGAGATGTGTAGAGGGTAAAATATATCTTGAAGGAAGGCTGTCACTCCATTTTGCAACGCCATGCCATACCCTGTGGACGGCGCTTGATTGGAGCCAATTTCCTCCTACAACAGGACAAGGACCCAAAGCACAGCTCCAAACTATGCAATAACTATTTAGGGAAGAAGCAGTCAGCTGGTATTCTGTCTATAATGGAGTGGCCAGCACAGTCACCGGATCTCAACCC